CAAGCTTTGGAGTCAGCACTAGCTTTGAATCCTGACTCTGCCACTTATCAGCCCTGTGACCTTGAGCAAGTAATCACCCAACACAAGATCAAGAGCCCTTAGAAAATAGGGGGTGGGGGGAAATAAGAAATACAGATTATACTTTTAACAAACAAAAATAGGACAAAAACAACTACTTTGCAATTACTTCCTAGGGAGAAAGAAAAGAATACTGAAGCAGTACACCAGGGACTGCTTCAGGGTAAAAAAGTTCAAGTGTGGCAAACACAGACCATGGTGTAATGTGCAAAGGTGGCCTTTGACACTTCCTTAAATTACAGAAAGAGAACACTGCATAATCAGCACTTGGGCTCTGTTATGGTTACCTAGTGCCACTCTGACAAGAATATACCACAAATGGGACGTCTTGAACAAACAGGAGTTTATTCTCTCACAGTTTGGAGGCTTTAAGTCCAAGTTCAAAGTGCCAGGCTCTAGGGGCTGGGTGAAAGCCCCTCAGCCTTGGGCTTCAGCTCTGCCTTCTGTTCCTGGCCCACTGGAGCTGGAGGCTTTTCTTCACTCAGACAGCTGCAAGCTGCTGAGGCTGACAAGCCCAAGGTTGACAAGTAAAAAGGCACAGTCCCGATGTTAACAAACCACACGGCAGGCCATTAATTCAAGTCCATTGAAAGTCCCAAGGTCGGCAGAGCATGGCAGGCTGCTGAACAATGACATAGCTACAGGCTTCAAGCTGCCATCAGCTAGAGACCATTCCCACAGCTGTTTCTCATATTTGGGAAGCAGCCACATCCCCAAAACAGCTACTCAGCTGCTCCAGTAGAGTCCACCATGGAGTTAAGTACCAGTCTCACCATGGGGAATAACTACACTCCGCTGCCCAACCACTCAACCAGGCCCAGCCAAGATGACACACAAACTTAACCAGCATAGGCTCCTTTATCTAAGATACTCGTTGTGCAACTGAGGGCACATGAATGTGCCTCATTCTGTCCCCAGGTGGAAGTTAACCATGACTTGTAAAGATAAAGGAGGTTTCTTTGGTGCCGGACCCCTTGCATGGAAACTTGGGAGGAAAGTGTGAAGCAAGCTGGCTCACCGCAGCCCAGACAACATAGTGCACAGTTTCCAAGGTGCTAATCATGGGTCTTTTCTTGACACCTTTAATACAAAAGATGTTTTGATTAATGACTAATCAAGAGCACCCAGAAGATCCTCTAGGCACTGCAGAATTGGCCCAGACACAAATGCTATTGTATTGCCAGAATTTCCCTACAGATTGCATTGCGATAATTTTACCTGTTTGTTTGTTGTTAGGTGTCATTGAGTCAATTCCAACTCATAAAGACCCCTTGGGACAGAGTAGAACTGCCCCATAGTTTTCTTGGCTGGGAACTTTACAGGAGCAGAGAACCAGGTCTTTCTCCTATAGATCCTCTGGGCCAATTGGAACCACCAGCCTTTCAGAGCACTTAGTCATTTGCACCACCACGACTCCTTCAGTGAAATACTTCCAACCTGTAAATATAATTCACAAAATAACAGACCACACGGGGGAAACTCATAGCAGCACTGACTTTCTCAGTCGCTTCTGACTATGTGGGATGTGCTTTTTGAACAGATGTGAATAAACAATAGCATCAAATACCAATTTCTGGCCTCTTTTAGGGAAATGAGACTTTGATATTGGAGTTAGACACCACACCTTGTTTGCACTCATTCAATAATGTTTTTTTTGCTGCCCATTCTGGGAGCGACAACATGACAGGGGATGTTCCACTGTGGATGAGTCAGCTGTGATACTCCGCTTGGAGCTGGAGACCCTGCAAGCGACAAGCATGATTTCCATGGTCATTGCAGTCTTTTTCTGAACCAGTACAGGCCCTCTCCTCAAGCAGTGACCCTTCTGTGCTTCCTGAGCATCCATGTTGAAGCTGGGGAGGAAGGGAGGAAAAGGAAATGGAAAATATGTCTGGCTACAACAAATTAAAACTTCTTGCATTTTCCAGCAAACCAAATACAGCAATGACAAATGAGATGTCTCAAGATTCCCCCTTAAAAATAACTCCTCCCTAGGGGGAAGGAGGAAAAAAAAAAAAAAAGCAACTGCTTTGGTCTTTGAACAAACCCAATTAGATTTAAAACCCTGCATGTGTATCACTTTCTGTTGCTAGGAGCTCTTGTCAATGGGTAGATTTCCCCCAAGTCTCATATGCAAATTTTCAGACCAGCCATTTCCAACTTGAAATATAACTCACTGTGGTAGTTAAATTTGTATGTCAACTTGGCTGGGCCAGGTTGAATGACTGGGCAGCTGGTGGTAGTTATTCCCCATGATGAGACTGGCAATCAACTCCATGGTGGGATTTACCACAGGCAGCTGAGTAGCTGCCTTTGAGATGTGGTCTGCTTCCTGTATATGAGAAGGCTTGAGGATAGTCTCTAGCTTATGGTACCTTGAATCCTGCATGTAGCCCTGTCATTGTTCAGCAGCCTGCCATGCTCTGCCGACCTTGGGACTTAGAATGGACTTGAATTAATGGCCGTGTGGTTTGGTAACATCGGGACTGCGCCTTTTTACTTGTCACCCTTGGGCTTGGCAGCCTCAGCAGCCAGTAGTTGTCTGAGTGAAAAAAAGCCTCTGGCTTCAGTGGGCCGGGAGCAGGAGGTAGAGCTGAAGCCCAAGGTTGAGGGGCTTTCACCCAGCCCCTAGAGCTTGGCACTTTGAACTCGGACTTAAAGCCTCCAAATTGTACGAATAAACTCCTGTTTGTTAAGGCCACCCCATTTGTGGTATATTTCTTGTCAGAGTGGCAATAGGTAACCAGAACACTAGCACACAGGCTATTTGTTGTCTCTTTCACCCCTTAGTTGAGTTTCATAAGTGTTGTCAATGATCAGAACTTTTTACAAATTATTTGGTGTTTAAAGACATGCTTTGCTGGCTTAGCCTAGTGTACCAGTGGAGAACCAGTGAACCTGTCTATATTCCACTCCTCTACCAGGGTTCAGTTTCCAGCCCCTCATATGCAGCCACCAAATTCTGTCAGTGGAGTCTTGCTATTAGACCGAGCAGGTTTCAGTGGAGCTTCCAGACTAAGACTAGGAGGAAAGACCTGGCAATCTACTTCCAGAAGTCAGCCAAGTAAAAACCCTGTAGGTTACAACAGTCTGAGCCACATCAGACCTATGTGGGGATGGTGCGGGAGCAGGCAGTGTTTCATCCCATTGTGCATGGGGTCACCATATATGAACTAATTTTGTATGAAAATCCCCATTTACAAACAATTGTCATCAAGTTGTTAAGAGCATGGACTCTGGAGCCGGCTAGATTGCCTGGGTTTGAATCCAGGCATCATCCGTAGCTAGCTGTTTGATCTTGGGCAGATTATTTTACTGTGCCTCAGTTTCCTATATCATAAGATTATTGTGATAAGCAAATGAATTAATATTTCTAAAGTCCTTAGAACAGTGCCTGACACACAATAAGGCTCCAAGTGTTAAGAATACTTTAGTCCCCATTAGATCATACTGGTTCATACTGCTTGATGATAAACTAGTTTGCTTCATTCATCCTTTATCTCCTAGATAGGTCTGTGGGTCGGTTGGTGGGAAGGTGTACTGGCTTTATTATTACTAGTTGTTGTTGTTATGTGCCATCAAGTTGGACCAACTCATAGCGACCCCTCCTTGGGTTTCAGAGGCAGTATCACTATGGAAGTAGATTGCCCAACCTTCCTTCCAAGGAGTGGCCGGTGGTAGTAGTCCAAAAAAAAACTCACTGCCATTGAGTCAATTCCAACTCATAGTGACACCCTTTGGGTTTCCAAGGCGTTAAATAGGTAACAGGAAAACTTGGGCCCTGCCCTAAAGTGGCTGAAGTGAGACAGTGCCTGCCGTTTTCATATGTTAATACTGTCAGATAATAACAGTCCTTGGAAGTAACTTTTAGGGAATCAGATTGGCCACTTTTCTTCCTCAGGGCAAGGTTTTGGGTTGGAAAGAGGGTTTGAGGGTTGTTCTTTCCAGGATCCCATTTGGCGGGCAGAAGTTTTAAGCCTGCCCCTTTAAGACAGGATTCACTGATAGATATGCATCCCAAGTAGTTCATTCTGGAACTAACTGAAATAGAAGTCATTCTTGCATTAGATTTTTGTTTGGTTTGTGTAATATTGTGGTTTAGGTGAAAGTTTACATAGAAAATTAGGTTCCCATTTAACAATTTTTATACAAATTGTTCTTTGCCTTTGGTTACAATTTTTACAATGTGTCAACTTTCTCATTATTCCCTGTTCTTTTCCTTTATCTAGCTCCTTTCTCCTTGCCTTCTTTCTGGTAAACATTGACTGGTTTCCTTTACTTATTTGTTTAAGAGAGCACATAACTCGTGTGATCTTTATTTTATACTCCCATCTTTCATTTGGCTGAAAGGTGACCTACTGAAATAGTGTCAAAGCCATGTGCAGACACGTTGGATTTAAAATCAATCCGGGGTCTTCACTTCAGCCGCTTGCCCATTTTTCTTTCTTCATTGGAAAGGTACTGGCAGCCTGATGGCTTAAAACAAACCAAAAAACAGTTGCTATCAAGTGACTAACTTACAGCAGCATCGGAAATTCAGGCAGGGGGAAGCATGGGATATGCATTAGGAGGAAGGCCACCCTCAACTCACTGGGAGAAAGCCTTCATTTCCAAGTGTGGCCAAATGCCCACTAGGGCACGCCCTTTCCCCGCCCCTGGCCTTAGCTTCGTCTCGAGCCCCGCCCCTTTAGCCTACACTCCATGGTGGAATCCAGGACTGCTGGAATGATATTGCGCCTGCGCACGTGGCTATTTGTCAGGCGATGCTGGACTGCCTTACCTCAGTGCTGAGCTGTCAGTGCGCCTGCGCAGGAGACCAGTTGGCACGCAAGGTTGAAAGGACTCTTCTCGGACCGAGCAATCAGTGCGTCTGCGCGCGGGCCGGACCTAGCGGGTCTTGACTGCTGCGCGGAGCACCCGGTGTAACTATGCAGAACAGTAACACAGAGCATCCTTTCAAGCAGACTAGATGCGATGATACCCCAGAAACCCGGCCAGATACCCACACTGCAGCGACGGAGAGATCCCCGGGTCCTGAACTCCACCCTGACCCCAAGACCTGGGACCCGGAGCAGGTGTGCGCCTTCTTACAGCGCAGTGGCTTCAGTGACCCTCTGCTGCAGACACGTTTCCGAGGTAGCGGGGCTCGAGGGGCTGAGGGGCAGAGGCATGACGACTCGAATTGGGAAATACTCAGGGCTGAGGAGAGGGCTCACTGAGGTAGCGGGCTGGGGTCCTCCCAGAGGACGACGAAAGCAGAGAGAGACTTGGCGCGGGGAGGCACTCAGAGGGGAAGATCTGAGGCAGGCAGGAGGCGCCCAGGAAAGGAGTCCTGAGGTGGAGAATAGAGACTGAGGCAGAGAGCCTCCAGAGAAGGCGACCTGAGCCAAGGAAGGGAAACGTGCCCTGGGAGGCACTCAGAAGGGATGGACCTCAAGGAGGAGGGCGGAGAACAACCCGGAGAAATGGGGGCAATTTGAGGTTGGGGTCTCGAAGAGATTGTGAAGCTGGGAGGGGCGGTCGTAGACCTTGGTCTTGCTTGGGTGGATTTCTTTATGAACTTGTTATCCCAGAGCCAGGTGAATGATAGTCGGGCCCTTTTCCAGTGAGGAACTTGGGCGGCCTGTGCTGTCATTCAGGCTTTATGTTACCACCACTCTTTGCACACTTGCTACATTAAAAATATGTTCTGAGGCCTTTAAATTTCTACTCCTCCCTCCCTCGTTGAACCCTGGATTCTCCCAAAGGGGAAGGAACTTTTTTTTTTTTTTCTCCCCATCTCTGAATTCCCACCCTCTAATATAGGATCTTAAGAGCTCTGGTAGCGTAGTGCCTAAGGCACTTGACTGCTAAACAGAAGGCTGACGGTTCAAACCCACTAGCCAGCCACTCCTCGGAAGGAAGGTTGGGCAATCTACTTCCGTAGTGATACCGCCTGGGAAACCCAAGGAGGGGTCACTATGAGTGGGGTCTGACTAGACGGCAAATAACAACAACAATACAGCATCTCAGTGGGGCTCAATAAATGTTAGTTGACTGGGTCAGTGGAACTTGGTAAAGTTTTGGTCTTCAGATTGCAGTTTACTTTACTCCTGCTCAACACTGTGGTTATACAGCTGACAGCTGAACCCCAGCCAAGTCTGAACCCCGCACCAAGCCTTCCTTCTCTGCTTTCGTCATCCTCTGTGAGGACCCCAGCAGGCTACCTCAGTGAGCCCTCTCCTCACCCACAGCTTGGCCAGTCACATGGTGCGGTGTGGACATCAGTGAGTCCTTGCTCCCACCAGACTTCTGGAACAGCCTATTAGGTTGTGAATTGTAAACGACTCTACTGGCTCTTATTCAGCATCCATCCACTTGAAATGAATTGAACTTTCTGTGCTGGAGTGTGAAACTCAGCCTCTGCCTCCTTATCCTCCCAGGTGTTCGATAGGAAATGGTTCTTCGGTTGTGATTTGCACATTAACTTCTGCAATGGTCCAGTGGATCCCTTTCTGCTTAGGTTGGGGACTGTTTTGGGAGGAACTTTAGTGTTTCAGGGCCTAAAGTTAGCTTAAAAGGGTGAGGGAAATTCCAATTTTTTTTTTTTTAAACTCCCTGACTTTTGCTTTGTTTTCCTCTAAGTCAGGGATGGAATTTTCAAGTAGCAAGTGGGGAGAGGGGAGTAGCTTTAGATTTTCTATCTCCAGAACATGACTGGCTATGTTATTGGATCCCTGTTACAGTGGCGTTCTGTAGATTAATTCAACAGCCTCCAGATTGATCTGTATTTCATTGAAACACAGCAGCAGAAGACACTATATGCTGTCAGTGGGTAAAAACCAAACACAGGGTGCTGGGAGCATTTCCAAGTTTTGAAACAATTTCACAAGGTCTCTGAATTTAAATGCTATCATCCACATTTTTTACAGATGAAGTATTTGAAGTCTAAAGATACTAAGTACCTTGCCCAAAATCACACAGGTAGGAAAAAGTAGCTTAATTTTACCTAGATCCTTGGTCTCCAGAACTTTATGCCAGCTATTTCTAAACAAATGTTCTTAACAAAACATTGGAGAACATAACCAAAGTTAAAACATCACATAAGAACTAAGGGGGAAAAAGTAGAAAAACTGGCAAAACACAATAGACTATTGACAACTAACTATAAACACAGGAAAAGATGTTCACTTTCAATAGTAAGCAAAGAAATACCAATTTTTGCTTTAGATGGAAAAGATTTAAAAGATTGATAACAGGGGAAATGCCCAATAAAGTTTATGAAAGTGTCAAGGAACTCAACTGTAGTTAATGGATACTTTGGTAATACTTTTTTTTTTTTTTTTGGTGATAACCTTTTGACTTATAACAATTTCACTTAGAAGAATTTACAGATATAATTAAACTAATTCCAAAGAAGTATATTCACATGATTCTTATAATCATTAGTTATAAGTAGCAAAAAGAAATCTAAATATCCACCAATAATAATAGTAATAAATAATAATGATGGCTAATATTTATTGAAGGAGACCTGGTGGCCTAATGGTTAAGTGCTTGGCTGCTAACTGAAAGGTTGGAAGTTCAAACCCACTCAGCTGCTCCATGTGAGAAAGACCAGGCAATACACTTCCATAAAGATTATAGCTAAGAAAACTCTGTGGGACAGTTCTACTCTATCACATGGAGTTGTTATAAGTTGGAATCAACTTAAGGGCATCTAACTACAATAATATTTATTGAGCATTTTCTTTGTTTAAAGTACTGTTCTATGCACTTTACATGTTTTATCTTGAAAGTCTTTTGACCACCGTGTGACATTGATAAAGTTATCCTCATTGTAAAGATAGCCCCCAAAAAATTAGTAAAATGCACAAGGGTACATCTCTATCATGGAATACAAGACAGCTATTAAAAATGATGTAGAGGACTTACGGTAAGATGGAGGAATAAGCAGACAAGCAACACAGACCCTCTTCAACAAAGAAAAGAAAAACTAATCAACAGAGATACAGAAGATAATCCTGGAGCCCTGAGCTTTGCAAGGAGCTATACTGAAGTGGGAGCTCTGGTAGCATAGTGGCTAAGGCACTTGACTGCTAACCAGAAGGCTGGTGGTTCAAACCCACCAGCCACTCCTCCGAAGGAAGGTTGGGCAATCCTACTTCCGTAGTGATACTGCCTTGGAAACCCAAGGAGGGGTCGCTATGAGTGAGGGCTGACTCGACGGCACATAACAACAACAACAACATACAGAAGTGGACTAGGCACCAACTAGTGGAAAAACCTGAACGAAAACAGTGAGTACAGAGATGGTCGGAGCTGCGGACTGTCAGCTACTCTGATGGGACCAACAGCCTGAATATTTCCAAGTGGTGTTGGGACCTGAGAATTGACCTAAAGATCAACCCCAGTCACCAAGGGCTCCAAGGACAACTGCACTGGTGGCCTATGACTAGGAAGGGAATCAGCAAGGAGGGAGATAACCTGAGCTGTTAACTTTCCCCTGGCCGGAGGGCATAGCCATTTTGATTGTTTACGTGCGGCAGCCATTTTGGATATTTAAAGTGACCGAAGGTGCAGCCATTTTTAATGTTTATAAGTGGCAGTCATTTTGGTTATTTAAAGTGACCGTGGGCACAGCCATTTTGAATGTTTACAAGCAGTGACCATTTGGGATATTTAAACTGACTGAGGGTGCAGCCATTTTGAATCTTTACAAGTGGCAACCATTTTGGATTTTAAATGACAGCATTCTCATTCTGATTCCAGGAATCTAAGAATAGGCTCTGTTTGCCAAAGTTAGCAGGGACATATAAGATGCTGACAACAAGAAAGAAGACAGGTAGTGAGTGTATAAGTGCTGTCAACTAGTGAATAGAGGAGCACAGCACAATACTCTGCTCGCATAGATAACATACAAACAAAACAAAGGAAATGATAATCGTGGGCAAGTCACTCCAAAATACAATCACCAATTAAATATAAATACAAAAACGTCACAATGCCTCAGAGACAAAGGAGCATCACAGTCCACACAAAGAAGCAAAATAAAGCAGGAGAAACAAGGGACGAGGATACAGACCCAAAACACATCCCTGAGGAAGATGCTGCATTGAAACTTCCTGATAAGGAATTCAAAAGAATTATATTCAGGTATCTACAGTGAATTGAGAGACAGATCAAGAGAAACACTAACAAAATTGAGGAAAACACAGAAAAAACTCTAGACAATTTCAAAAGACAATACAAGAACAAAATGACAAAACAAATGAAAAATTAGAAATGATACAAAATCTACACACAGAAATCCAGAAGATTGATAATAAATTTTCAGAAACAGATAAGACATTGAATGGGCAAAGGAGCAGAATTGAATCAATGGAATTAGGGAGGTTGAAGGCAAATACCTGAACGCTTCCTTGGAAAGGGATAAACTAGAAAAAAGATCAAAACAAAATGAAGAAGGCCTAAGGTTCATGTGGGATACTGTCAAAAGGAGTAACCTATGTGTAATCGGAATTCCAGAACAGGAGGAGACAAATAAAACCACAAAGAAAATTGTCGAAGATTTGTTGGAAGAGAATTTTCCTGGTATGATGAAAGATGAGAATATATCCATTCAGGAAGTCCAATGAACCCCAAACAGAATAGACCCCAAAAGAAAAATATCATCATCAAACTCATCAAAACCAAAGATAAAGAATCATGAGAACAGCACAGGAAAAACAAAAAGCTACCTTTAAGGGGCAACCAATAAGACTAAGCTTGTTAGACTTGTTTCTCAGTAGAAACAGTACAGGTGAAAAGACAATGGAATGGCATATATAAAACCCTGAAAGATAATAATTTCCAAACAAGAATTGTGTACCCGGCAAAATTGTTCCTCAAATATGATGGTGAAATTAGGATATTTCCAGATAAGCAGAAATTAAGGGAGTTTTTTTAAAACCAGACCAACCTTACAAGAGATGCTAAAGGGAGCCCTTTGGACAGAGAAGCAACAACAGCCAACAACAACTGACCGTTAATACACATGATGATATAATCCAGAAACCAACCCAGCTATGGAAGTATCCAAAGTAAATAAGCCTACAAAATTGTAAACAGGGAACCAGAGACATCAGTTGACAAATGAGGATAACTATAAACCAAAA